GTATATATTGTTTTTTCTTTAAATTTCGGATCCTACATATACGATCATATATGGATAGTTGTAGGGACCTCATGGTCACCCCGAAACAGCGATCCAAAGTGGAGTTTGTTGTAGATAATCCCAAACTCTCATTTTCTTCAGGTTTTTATCACGGTGTTGAAACTGGTCACTTCCAGAAAGGGGTGAAGATAGATAACATCACATATGGCGAGCAGTAGCAAGGACAGACTGCGTTGTTAGCGGCGCTTGTCAAAGCAGTGCGGCAGGATGCTTGCGATGAAACTGGCACAGGTTTGCCACAGCTCAATGTCAGGATGTTCCTCATTTTTGGGCCCACGTTTTTTGGATGACTCAGACTGTACAGGTGCGAAAGGTCTAGGAGTCTAGCGCTCGTGTCATGTGGTTTGCTTTGACGCCAGACATTGCCATGTTGATCTGAGCACGGACAACCTGTGCCCGTCGCGTGTCTACCGATTGCTAGCGGTGCCCAGAGAGTTAGGGCTGCCAGGAAAAAACAAAACATCAAAAGCAGCTCCTGGGTACCATTCACTTTGGGTTGGTAGGTTGATTCGTTCACTATTGGTCATGTTTGATGAAGGAGTACTTCACCATCAGAAACACAACAAGGAACATCCTACTATGCATATGGAAACTTGTCCTTGAAAGATTGCCTGTTTTTCAGCGTGGTTCCAAAAGTCGGTGAAGCACTTTATCGCTTTTGCCTTTGACTCGGACTCTGAGACAGCTCGCTTTTGCCTTTGACTCGGACTCTGAGACAGCAATGGAGATAGACACACACACAGACATTCATATATATACACATATATATATATACATATGTACGTGCCTATGTATATGTATACATATATATATATAATGTTGTTATTGTTGTTCTGTGGGGCACTTGGTAGTGAATTCCACTTAAGAAGGTGGCTACATCATAAATTGTATTACAAGAAATTATCAGTTTATTATATATATATACACCTTTATAATGATATTGGCATATATCAGCATATATGAATGTGGATATAAGATATATATATGATACTATTATTATATATCACTGGTATATAGAATATCAATGGGTATCCCCAGTTTTTAGATGGGTCATAAGCTCAGTTCGGAACTGGGATGCACGGAGTCTCCCCGAAACGAGCGGAGGCGGAAGCGGTGGAAGCGCTGGAAGCGGTCTCCGAGAACGCGAGAACGCACGAAGTCCCAGAGTGCAAAATGGGTGGTATCTTTAAATGATCTGCGGATGAGATTGCGATTTATATATTATACACATATATAAATATATATACATATATACTGTATATATCTGTATATATACTTAGACCTTAGATCCTCCAAGTACCCACAAAAATGAAATATTGTCCCAAAATCATGGAAGTACTTAAAGGATATAGGTGTAGTTGCATGTGCGCATCCACACCGCACATTTGCCAGTCGGAAAACCCTGTGCCATGAGGATCAGCAAAGGCTTGCAGCGACAGACCCTAGCTGCCTATGCGCAGGATGCAGGGATATTATGCCGTTGTGGAGAAAAAGATATGGTTGTCATCAAAAAAGGGGGGTTCCGGGTTTTACTGGTATTTTTTAAGCAACATGGGGATGGAAACGGGAGTGTTCTTGCGGTTTCTTGCCATTTTCGTATTCATCCGGTCTTTAGGGTGCACAATTGTGACCAACCCCCACTTGGCAAGAACCCCTTTGGAAATGGCTGGCCATTTGCTATACCAAGGACAGAGAATAGCTCATTAAACCTGTACATGTTTTTTGTATGGGGGGACGATGCTGGATGTCCATCCCAGTTAGCAACTGCTAAGTAAATTTCTATGCTCGTACAACCTGCAAGCAGTTGTAGATACATAGCAATGGAAAATCACAATTTTCAATGTGTAAATCCACTATAAATGGCCATTTTCAATAGCTATGTTTGTTTACAAGAGGGTAAACCAATCTGGAGGAGTTTCTCTACCCAGCACTGTTTTAAGCATGGCACGTCCAGAATCTGTTTCATGGTTCAGTGGGCTCGTCGAAGACTGCAGGGACCACAGAGGTTCTGCAGGGACACATAGCCATCTCATAGATGGAGGTTTCCGCCAATGGTACCACAATAGCTGGTTGGTTTATAATTAATGGAAAATCCCCATTGATTTAGGGAAACCTTTAGTTGAAGATGAATATTTTATAGGTGATTTAGGAGTACCCCTTAATGGATGATTTAGGGGTACCCCCCCCACTTATGGAAACCTCCAAAATGCCACGCCGCGCAGGCTGCACGACCCCGGACACCCACGGGAGTGCAGCCTCCCAGGCGCAAGTTGGTGGTTTTGTTAGGTGCATATGACATCACCATATGTCGAACATATTTTAAAGCCATAGTTGCTTCAAAGAGGGGCTCCCAAAATATGATCATAGCGTATCATAGCCATAGCAATTATGAACAGCTATATATTATATATATATGCCTGGCATGACCTGGTACCTATCCATACTGGATATCAGAAACGAAATGAAACGAATGTATATGCAGCCGCTAGATGGCAATTGCTTCTAAATGTCACGGCACTGCAAACAACTCCATGTTTACTTTGCAAATCATATGTCTTGCCACTCAAAGTGTGATTGTTTCTATTTCCGTAAAAAAAACGGGGCAAAGATGACATACCCTCTGGTAATTTAACGTAGCTATCGAAAATGACCATTCAAAAAGTGGATTTTCCCATTAAAAATTGTGGATCTTTCCATAGTTTTTTGTATGTTTACCATTTATAGTGGATTTTCCCATTAAAAAGTGTGATTTTCCATAGTTTTTTGTATGTTTACCAGAGGGTAAACAGACCCATTTTCCACATATTTTCACTGGAAGACCATCCACGCCGCACGGGAAAACCACCACCTCCAGGCCTTCAGATCTCAATGAGGAGAGACGAATGGAGGAGGTGCGACCCGGTTAGCCCATCCTTGGCCAATGGCATACTGGGTATATATGTTTGGCCAAGGTATACCATATATGCCATATATGGTATATGGCCAATGGAAAAAACCAAACATCTCCAATGGCCAATGGCCAATGGTATACCATCTGTTCACACCTGAGCCTTGTCTTTCGGATTGTTGAGAGGAAAGTGGGCGGCGACATGTCGAATTGCCAAGCCCATGGAGTCCACAAGATGTGTATTTTTCACTATGTGTCTAAAATATCAATGGATTGGTTCAAGGGAACTAACCGGAAACCATCGATTTTCATAGATTTTCCCATGAAGATCATGGGTTTTCCCTGTATTTGTTTCCCTTAAACCAATCCATTGAAAGGAGTTTTTGGGCCTTGACGAAACCAGTCACTTCCTTCAGTCAGGCGCGGATGCAAAGTACCATCCGTGCGCAGGCCAGGAAAAGGACCTCCAAAATCATCAAAATCACCATTTTTCTGGGTACAAACGATCCGCAAATGGTAGGTTTATGGCATTGGGTGTCCCACATTGTTGATGCACATGGTTTGAGAAAAACCCACAGTATACCATCCTGAAAACAAGATGGTGCCACATGATGTATGAGTATTATCTGAGTTAGTGAGAAGGTTTTACAAAGCAAACGGACAATTCTACTAAAAGACCTGTGTGCTAAGATTTGTTCATGCCCGGACCAAGTTCTTGCTCCGAGGGTAGAAACTTTTGAAACAATGAAAGAGATGGTTCACCCTCCTACCTTTTGCATAGGCAATGAAGATAGCCTCGAAACCGCCTACATATTAGACCTGTTAAACACTTGGTTTATCTTATTTCATCCAGATGTGAAATTCGTACCAACTTACATAAGATTGCACAGTTGTAAAGATGCATCCATGCATATTTGTATATACATACTGTATATATATATAACACTGTGTATATATATATGCATATATGTACATAGATACAATGCATATATGTACACACATACATGCAATATATGTCAATATGGGCAGGTATGAAAATCAAGAGGTAAGAATTTGAATACAGAAAATCCAATGCCATAAACCTTCGCCCTGGGCGCCGTATCTCCTGACCTGTTTGGCAGTTGTTGTGGATGACTGGATGAAGCCCAAAAAGTGGAAGTCCAAAATGGGGGCTTGAATCGTTTAACCACCAAAACATTATGTTTTTTACCACACAAAATTTGGATTTATATTCATGTTAGTGAAATATTATACTTTTCCCAGATTAGTTGATTGATTCGATCACTATGCGCTTCATTTACATAGAGGAATAATTTCCGCCATTTTGCTACGATGAGTTGGTGAACTGGCCCAATGCGTGGTATACTCCTCACCCACTGCAATGCAATGTTGGTAAACTTGGATCGATGTAGTGCAGTGATAAATGGGATCAATCACCTGGTTAAGGTTCATACTATTTGTTTAATCCCACTGACAATCCCATGAATCGTTTGGATTATGAACGGGACTTATTGAAGGGGCTGGAAACATCAACGGCTTTTGGCTCGATATCAGACACCAAAGCCATACACCAGCCCAAAAAAAATACACCAGCCCGATGGGTGGGATTGGAACCGTCCCCACACGGTGAGATGCCCTGATTCCATCAGAAAGGCCCACGTTGAAGGCAGAAATCCTGACTGAGTAGCCAGGCCATGTCCTAAGACAGGATTTCGATGTTAAGGGCATGGCACTTTCATCAACAGCACATCACTTATACAATTAAACCTGAGCATTTCTATGATCAAACCCCCTGAAAGTATACCGCAGCGATCATGAATGATCAGTTCGGATTGTTTATTGCGACCCCATGGCCAGCATTACCATGAATTCGGTGAAGAGTATCGGGAAAAAGACTCGACGATGATCTTGTTCATCAAAGACATGAATTATGAACTTCATGAACTCATAATGGCGGAAAAGAAACAGGAAATAAATCGGGTCCTCCTCAAACAAAAGACGCAACTTGAAATTATGAAACCCTTATTTATCAGCCCCTCATCAGAACTCATCGGAGAGTCGATTTATGCCATGGCGAGTCGATGGGAAAGGATCGGCGCATGGCTGAAGAAGGTGGAAAACCAAAAGAACTTGGCGCGCTTTACAGGACTCGATATACAGAGCAGTGGGCACGCCATTGGGCACTGGAAAGATATTGGGCTAAGATGTCGGCAATATCCACCCACCAAGTGGACTTTGACGGAGATGATTTGGAGAATAGGAAAACACACGAATGCAATAGACTTGAAGTATCTTGAAGTATACTACATGCTGAATCACAACTGTGAACATCATCACAAAACCATTACAATCCATTACACGAGAACAAGCCCGAAACAGCAGCCCCATGGAGGAAGCCAGAGGACTTGGAAGACTTGGACGTGCATCCCAGTTACATAGGTAATGACCATAGTATAACCTTCTTATATGGCTATGGATCAATACCTATTAATACCATTTTTAGGGGGATGAACATCCATTTACCAGCTATTTTGATGTTCACCAGGGGTACAAGGTTTTGACACACTGCCATATGTGGGACATACCGAATATATATTGAATATATCATAATATATGCCCCAGTTATAAACGAGAGAATGGTCTTAGCCACTTGCGAAAAAGGGACTCCCACACATGGACATGGAAAAAAGAAGGTTACTTGGAGCCCCACGGTGCGTACTGTGGCGGTTTTGCGCCATTTGCCAACTAGGTAACAAGTAAGGTCCATGAGGGGGTTAGATATGTTAGATATATCAGTGACATCACAATATCATAAGATACTCTATGAATCTCTATAACAATATGACAACAGATCACAATGATCACAATGTTCTGATCATGCTGGCGCAGCTGGTGCTCCATGGCGCTCCTGGCATTTTGCTGAGCCTTGCTGAGCCGTGACGCCTTGCGCAGGAGGGATGACGCTCTCCCTGCTGGCACTTAGCTCCATGAAGCGTGTAACACCTGGTCATGTGGGGCTGATCGAGGACTCCGATAGAAGAGTTGGAGAGGTGGACATATGAAGTAAATATATCATCTGTAGAATTAATTATATATATATAGAGATATCTATAGATTTATATAGTCTATAACATCCTGGAAACACTTTTCTACCTTTTGGCTGGTCCCTGTGAGTGTGACCAAAGGCTTCAGCCTCAAGTGCCAAGCAGAGGATTGTTTCCACTGCTGCGTAATACAAAGCATGGAGTCCGAAGATGATCCACAACTGCCACTGGTTCCATGCAACAGTTTGAAGCATGGTATCCCATCATCTCATATCATCTCCCTAACATCGCCATCCATATCCATTGCATCCATTGCCACCTGGCAGCATTGCCAGCGTGGCCAGCAGCGTGACTGGTCGTGTCTTCGAAGGACTGGCAGGGCAATTTGAGGCCCTTCATCTACGACGACAGTCAGATGGTTTTGGCCATCCCCATTTGGCACCGCATCGCCGCGGGGCAGATTTCGGAGGGTTCCTTAAAGAATGCAACAAACAAATGTCCCCAGGAAAGGGCCAGGAAACAGAAAACATGGGGGGTTGATCACCTGATAAATTCTTGCAGTGTATGATGATGTGTTTTGTTGGTGTTTGTTTGATGTTTTCTGATGTACTCGGATGCAGTTTAGCCATGTTTAGCCACTACCCATGGAGTTGGCCTCCGGCAGCGTCCAACTGAGTCTTGGGAAGATTCTCGTTTGGGGACTGAACCTGATTAATCTGATTCACATTTAGTGTGTGTGTGTGTGTTTATTTATGTTTATTCATGTCGAAATCGGAGAAGGCATGAGCAGTCTTCCCTGTTTTGAATCATTCATCCTCCAGCGACGTGAAACATCGAGGTCAACATCCGACTGATCCCGGTGAAGAAGCGCTTCATCAAGGAATACAGCACCAAGGTGCCGTAAATTGCGAGTTGCCCTTGTGGGCAATGAAGGGTGCAGGACATGAAAGTGAACGTGAAATAAAGTGAATATGTTCCATTGTTTCTAGTTTGTTTTGTTCGCCTACACCTTGAAATGGTATTGATCGGGATGAGGAACAACATTGATCGGTACTGTATTGATCCGAATGCTGCACCCAAAGATTGCATACACGCCATTGTGTCCCTTTGTTTCCGTTTTTTCTGTTACACATCACTGGGAAATGGTAAAGATGAACATGATTCCAAGGCGGCTCCCGGCCATTCACTTTGACTTTTAGTTTTTTTTTGTTCGGGGAAAATGGCGCAATGGTAATTTATCAATATTTATAATCTACAGTATCATGTTAATTTATACATAATTAAGCATTAGAACATAACACTAGGAGTCAAACTGTTGGCAGGGGAGCTGGAAACCAACCAGTATGATGGGTGATGTTTCTCTTCTGGTGTCTGGGACACCTGCAGGACATTGAACCCCCCAAAATCCATGTCTCTGAATTGATGTTCTATCGAAGTTGGTTTCCGAAAAAAATGGTGGGCTACACTCCAATAGACCTTCCATTTCTTGCACTAGAGAGAGAGTAGGTTGACTATAGGTGTTGCTTATATAATATATAGTTATTTGGTTGGTGGTTTGGAACATTTTTCCATATATTGGGAACAATAATCCCAACTGACTAACTCATATTTTTCATAGGGGTAGGTCAACCACCAACCAGTTATTTTTCATATTCCAATCTTTGCGGAGGCTACAGCAGCCCAATTCGACAAGCAGTCCACCTGGTTGGATCATCCCATCGTAACTGATGAATAACCCTGGTTGGTAAGTCCCCATTTCCTGAATTGTCCTATGTATTGCTGGGTTACAACTGTTACAACCCCACAAACACATTTAGGACTTACCAGTTACAACTGGATTATAGATTATTATAAATGTTAGAAGTCCCTGCTGGCACATACCTAGCCTTGCCAGGATGGAAAAGATGTCGAGGTTCGACTGGTTTGCCGCTTGCAGCCGAAAGTCCACTGGGTGCCAGAGATTTACTACAAATTTGGAACCTGGCCGGCAAATGGTTGGCAGTCTCAACCTTTTATTTGAGGGGGCAGATGGATGTGAATGGAATGAGTAACAAGACCATCATTTTATAAGATTTACCTTTAATGTACTTGTAAAACAAGTTGGGTCCATTGTGTGGTGTTGCCACCTTACTCTGTTTTCAATCTCTACCTTGTGGTGACTGGGAGCTTGTCATGATTTTAGTATGTTTTAGGTGAGCTGAAGAGCTGAGGCAAAGACTATGGAAGAGGATTTCTGGAGAAGGAGGCTGGGGTTATGGGATGCCACTGCTTCCGAGATATTCAACCAATTCCTGGTTGGTGGTTTCAATCATCTTTTATTTTCCATTTCATATATGGGATGTCATCCTTCCCATTGACGAACTCCATCATGTTTCAAGATGGTGACATTGCACCACCAACCAGATATATGACGCCATGGGAGATCGTGGGCATCATGGCATCCTGGGGTACCACGAAAGGGTACCGGCTCGTGGCTATGGGATTGGAAAATCTAAGCACTGAACATGAAGATGTTGAACAAGAAAAGGTAGAATTATCATGAATTATCCTTTGCTAATCTGACAGTTTGCCATGGAATGGCCATGTTGTAAATCATCTACCAAACGGTAATGTTCCATAGCTATGTTAAATATAATTAGCAGAGGGTAGACGGCTGCAAGTTGTATATGTCCACAAGATTTCTCGGAGTGTAGAACTGAGTGGTTTGTGACCTATTTCAATATTAACAAATGCTTGTGGCATGCTCGTGTTTTTTCGATCTACACATTTTTTTGTGAGGAAGGCCGAGCAATGCCGCGTCTTCATGACCCTTTCCAACATATCAACTGCAGATAGTGTAGATGCATCAATTCACGTGAGTCATGCCCCTTTCAACAAAGAGACGATAGCCCCGCTAAGCGCTAACCAGTCGACCCGCTAACCGCTCATGGAACGCAACGTCGGTTCCATATCCAGAACGTCATCCGAACGTGTTTGTTTGGGGTTCTGACTTTGGTTTCGCTCTTAGTTTTGCTTCACTCGTTTTAATTGTTTGGTGTGCAATCCCAACGTTTGAAGATATATTTGGGGATTTTCAGATGTTGTGTGCTAGAATCTGCTTGAATCCCAACTCTGTATAATTGGGTCTACAGCTCAATGTCCACTTTGTGCGGGGTTAAAATCTCGATGTTTCCACACTGCCCCAGGCTACTGTAGATATCTCGGAGGTGGTGAAGAGACTTGTCTTTGCACCGATCTTTTTTTGGGGAAAGACCGGTGGACACCGGTGGTGGATGCTGGTCCCTGAATGTGCCTTCTGGAAATCAAAGATGGCAGAAACCCCAGTTTAGATTGACTGGAGGGGACTGGGCAAACACCAGGCACAAGTGGACCACTACTTTTTGGTCTTATCCAACCCATGGGGTTGTTCATGGCAAAGAAAGTTTACAATATACTTGCCAAGGTGTCGGCAGGCGGCTACAACTTCAGCCATTTGGATGGAGTACATTCTTTTGAACGTGAGGGCGGGGAAACACCCTCCCAGGATCATCCGATGCAACGGTGTTTTTTCTCGTTTTGTTTGGCAGCTGCAATCAAGGAACTACACCTTTGCGGAGCTGGTCTCTGGTTCAGAGGCGCAACTTTTGTTCTCCAAATGTCATGTTTCAACCCCTGTATTTTCTACGTACACATGTTTTAACATTTCCTGGGATCATGAATCAAGATCCTGAATGATGAATAGTGTTCTTTAGATGCATGTATTTTCCGACATTTCTCAAACTTCTTTGGGATAAAGTGATCTTAGTAGACTTCGAGAACCCCATCCCATTGGGGTTCTGAGCCCTGCTGGTATGGACCGACAGTTGTCAGTAAGCCTCCACGCCGCAAAAGAACTAGAAAAGGTTTATATATGCCTTATATGCCTTATATCAATAATGTAAGCCATGATAAAATTAATTTTCCCACCATAGTAAATCATGCCTTGTATATCCTTGTGTAATATGTGTTTTGGAGGTACAGGTACTTGGTTGGCTTCTTTGGCTCATCTAGGAGAAGGTTGAAGCGATTGCAGAAGAGATCAATCTCAGGATCGCGGATGCCTGTTCCTTCCATAAAATAAAGATGCTCGGCCCAAGCGCGGCTTGCGCGGTAGTTTACAGTAAGTGGGATGTGCAGCACATGAGTTTTGATCGAAAGGGGATTTAGGACGAGTTGGGATGAGTTGGGCCATTTAATTAAATGTCTATCCATTCCTGGTGCTTGGTAGAAGTTTGACCCAGCTCCACCTGCTGGGCGCAGCCAAGTATCGAGGAATTGAGATTTATGGCCCAGAGAATGACCAGTCGCAGGTTTATAAGGGGTTCTTGTTAGCTACGGTGGAATGGGTTACTGACTACTGTAGTATTTGTAGTCGATATGAGTCAACTATCCAGTTTTGGATGTTTTGGTGAATCCAATTTTGACTCTTGACCCATGCTCAACTCAAGTTGGCTTCCCCAATTGTCAATGATATGGGATACCCAAGTTGTTTGCTCATTTCAAGGGAAAAATAACCATATTTCCTTTGGGGATCACCATTCATAAACCGCTTAGACCGTTCAGCTGTGATGCCACTCAGATTGGGCATTCGCCGCCATGGCTCCACTACTGCCGTTGCTGAGGATCGCCAAGGATGAAACGTCCATTGTCTTCTTGGATCCTGAAGGTGACTACGAAGAATAGCTCCAGGCCCGGGCCTCCGGGCGGCCTCCGGGCCTCCCAAACAAGAGGGAGACACATATGATGACACATATGATTCATATGATACACCAATCCTGGAGAGTGATGGATTTCCTAATTTTCTTGGGTCACATGAATTTGGCGAAAGCAATGCTTTTTTGTGGGTGAGTAGCTACATCTCATGCCTTCTTTGTGGAAGCCAACTTCCTCATTGCTATCACAATGTGACCACACCCCCTGTCACAGCGGTGTGTCACTGGATGAGCGGCATCCAGCCATATTTGACATATGGTGATTTCATGATTTTCAGCACTTCAGCAGTAATCAATAAGACTCACTCTCTCTCTCTCTCTCTAGACACATATGTCTATCTTTATATATAATTATTATATATATATATGCACATTGCTTGGGTGTTAGATTTTGTTTAATTTCATGTCCAGTTAATCGAAGATGATTCCCCCTTAGCGTATCCTCATGATGATCAAATAAGTTGTCCGTTCAGTTCAATCAGTGATTTTGTTGTTAACAAGTCCTACGGTGGATGGTTGCGAAATCCTGCACCACCAAAAGGATGGTTGAAACCCTATACCCTCTGGTAAACTAATTTAACTATGGAACATCACCATTTTTAATGGGACAACTCACTATTTCTATGGCCATTTTCAATAGCTTTTTGTATGTTTACCAGGCCGGGTAAATAATGGGAACTTTACCACCTATCAACTGCAGGATTTCGCTGGGTGAAATCCACCATGCGCCTGGCTTGGCATCGGCCCCGGGGGAAAGGATGGGTCACTGAACCTTCAATTCTATGCAACAGGTACAGGATGGGCCCCCCCAGTGATGTTTGTTGGTTTATAAACCATGAAATAACCACCATGAACTATAGTTATATCTACCATAAAAGCATAATTAGTTACGCCACTTATAAGGCAACTTAGCTATTTTGGGGGGCCCATCCTGTACATGGCAAAATGGTGATTCTTTCGTTTGATCAGGAACATGTGAGATACGTTGAAGTCGAACTCCTTTCCCTTCGAAGCATTTTTGCAAAAGAAACATATTGGATCCATGTGACCATCAAGAATATTGATCCTAACAATCTTACAATATGGTTTGATGATGATTTTGTTTAAAATATGTTTTATCGTTCTCATGGTGATGTATGGTTCTTATGGCTCTTATCTAACAGGTTCATTTTACACATCTGATAAGGACAATTCTGGATGGTTTTGTGTATCCTCAACCACTATCGAACTGTCTTATGGTGAATTTCTCAATGGACCTGTTCTTTCACATGCTTCGACCACCGAGATCTTTCGAGACACGGACGACTCGTGGCTCCGCCATGCGATATGCATCGCCATGCGCCATGCCCGCCACGTCGGCGAACAAAAGAGAAGCGGGAGGTTGTTTTTGATAGGATATTCATTGGGCATAGTGGGATTCATGGCCTTTTGCTGAGATTAGGAGTTGATGGTCACAATGATGGTTATGGCGTAGCACCATCTCAAAATGGCCTTAAATGACTTTCAATTTGGTGAGTTTAGGGCTGTGGCTTTGCCCAGCAAGAAACGGGAAGTTGTTTGAGATATGGCTGTTTTATCGGGATTTAAGTAGCAACACCAACAGAGTTATGGTGGTTTTTTAGACCTGCTGATGGGGATGCAATAGGCAACAATGGGCATATTTTGGAATGAGGAATTGCCTACCAGACATCCCTAGACAACCGGACTGGGGCCCTGGCATGGCCCTGGGTTTTCGTCGACGGTTGGTCCTCATTGGATCATTGACTGGGGATCATCCAATGTCTTTGACCCGGAAGCCATTCCCAGACCCATTTGGGATGACACAACGGCCCGCGGGATGCCGATGATGGCAGCCAGAGTGTCCATATTGATCGACTGGTCGGATAGCTTAGAAATTAGTTTACTTCGTGTGATCCCCACCATGACATTTATACATTTTCTTGCTGGCAAATCTTCTGGCATTCTATCTGACATATCTTCTGACATTCTATTTGGCATTCTATCTGGCATATCTTCTGGCATCTATCTTCTGATCTGGCATATCTTCTGGCATATCTTCTGGCATATCTTCTGGCATTCTATCTGGCAAACCTTCTGGCATTTTATCTGGCATTCTATCTGACATATCTTCTGGCATATATTCTGACATATCTTCTGGCATATTTTCTGGCATATCTTCTGGCATATCTATCTGGCATATCTTCTGGCATATATTCTGATATATCTTCTGGCATTCTATCTGACATATCTTCTGGCATATATTCTGACATATCTTCTGGCATATCTTCTGGCATATCTTCTGGCATATCTATCTGGCATATCTTCTGGCATATTTTCTGGCATTCTATCTGGCAAATCTTCTGGCATTCTATCTGGCATTCTATCTGGCATATCTTCTGGCATATATTCTGACATATCTTCTGGCATTCAATCTGGCATTCTATCTGGCATATCTTCTGGCATATATTCTGATATATCTTCTGGCATTCTATCTGACATATCTTCTGGCATATATTCTGACATATCTTCTGGCATATCTTCTGGCATATCTTCTGGCATATCTTCTGGCATATCTATCTGGCATATCTTCTGGCATTCTATCTGGCAAATCTTCTGGCATTCTATCTGGCATATCTTCTGGCATATTATCTGGCATTCTATCTGGCATATCTTCTGGCATATATTCTGACATATCTTCTGGCATTCTATCTGGCATATCTTCTGGCATATATTCTGACATATCTTCTGGCATTCTATCTGGCATTCTATCTGGCATTCTATCTGGCATATCTTCTGGAATATCTTCTGGCATATCTTCTGGCATTCTATCTGGCATTCTATCTGGCATATCTTCTGGCATATCTTCTGGCATTCTATCTGACATATCTTCTGACATTCTATTTGACATATCTATCTGGCATATCTTCTGGCATATTTTCTGGCATTCTATCTGGCAAATCTTCTGCCATTCTATCTGGCATTCTATCTGGCATATCTTCTGGCATATTATCTGGCATTCTATCTGGCATATCTTCTGGCATATCTTCTGGCATATCTTCTGACATTCTTTCTGACATTCTTTCTAACTTTCTTCTGCACATTCTTTGTCCCATATCTTCCTACATGAGGTCCGGCAGGGAACACTTGGCGTGGATACTCGCGGTTGAGGTCCGGCAGGGAACACTGGGCGAGGATGGTCGTGGTTGAGGTCCGGCAGGGAACACTGGGCGTGGATGGTCGTGGTTGAGGTCCGGCAGAGAACACTGTGGATCGCGGGTCGCAGTTGAGCAAGGACGACGAGGACGACGAGGACGACAAGGACGACAAGGATGACAAGGAGGACGAGGAGGAGAGGAGGAGGAGGACGAGGCAGGAGGCAGGAGGAGGCAGGAGGAGGCAACTGACATAAAATCTACCAACCCTCACCTGGCAGGTGGGGAAAAAACAACAAAAGAACATTGGTCGGTAATTAAATCATATAATTATGAATATTATAAAATCATACAAATCCACCATTATTGGTTGCTAAATAAACACCTTTTTAAATCCATGTTTATGTCGATATCCCAGGTTTGGTTCCGATGTGGTTCCGATTTTCTGGGGAGAAATCGGGTCCGGAAAGCTGCCAGGCACCAATGGCGGAGGCCTGAGTTCTTCGTCCGCCAGTCATTTGTGAAGCAACGGTCCATGGGAAAATAACGGAATTAATTCCAAGAGAACATCTAAGAATTCCAGAAATGATAACACTTATGGCCCTTAAGATGTTTTTCAATGTGCTTAGAATACTCCTATAATGATATATATATATATATACATGTACAACTATAGTTATAGGACTACTATAGGAGTTATATAATTCCATTTGGAACTGTGAGTTGGGCCGCAACAGTGAAATGATAATGATGCTGTTGTTGTCTCTCTGCTTCCAGGTGAGTTTTTACCCAGAGATCGAGGTGTTTTTTTGCAGTGTTGTGGGATTTAGCCTGGCAAATGGAGTAACTTATGGTAGGTTGACTCTATTGAACCGGATAACATGGATCAACATTTGGTACATGCAGATCAGAAAACATGAAAAGAGAGAGAGAGAGAAAAAAAAATCAAACATGTTGTTAATTTTGAACTGTTTGAGGGTACGTCGATGTACGTCGTCCCTTGGCCGGGGTTGAATGATATCGTTTTGAACTTGAGTGGATGCACTGCATGATGGGGTTGCCAATCTGGGAGCTCCAATCTTGCCAATCAAACCTTGAGTCTCACTATTCGTATGAATGGATATTCTGACTCGCATTGCCACAGAAACTCTGAAGAGACAACGGCCACACTAAGACAGGTGATTTCTTCCCAAATCCTTAGAGCCCAGCATCCTTACTGTATGGTTCATTTCCCCGGGGTACCCCCATTAACAAGTCTGATATATCTTGAATAATTCCATATAAACATATTTAAACTACATAAACCCATAGTTACTAGTTATTGGACACCAGCTTAGCTAGCTATGGCAGGTGTAGGCTTCCGTTGTGGCCCGATGCCCCAAATTCGGGCAGACTGCCCCTTTGTCGCCAGGATCGAAGCAGGCAGGGCGGAGAGCCTGTCAATTCATCAACTTTAGCAACCCCAAAAAAAGATAGAACTCTATGTATTGTGTTCATTGATTTTCCCATAATAAACCGCCGGTTTCTACATCATAATCCATCATAATCAATCATATGGTTCCATAATAATCATGAATAAAGACTGAATTTGATACCCTCTGGTTATGACTAACATAGCCATGGTATAGATGGCCCATAGAAATAGATGGTTTACCTATTCAACACGGTGATTTTCCATGGCTGTTAAATAACCAGATGGTATGTAATATAATGTATATTATATATATATATATAGAGTAGGTAAGAAAAGGAATGAATCAGGTGAATGTTGCCATAATTTGTAGAACTTATTTAGGGAGGTACTGGAAATTCATTTTACATTTATTGCCATAGCTACAAAGGAAGTTTTTTTTTGGTGTGTGTGTGTTGAAGGGTGATCATAACTCTATGTATATATGTATATTATAATATATTATATTATTATGTGAACCTGTCCTTTCCTTGACCCGAGTGGCAGGTCAAAGATGCGACAAAACTTGGAGCGCTCCTTCAAGAAAGGCGGCATGTCGTGGCCATATGGCCATGTCATGGGGGGTGTCAACGGCAAGAAGAAGAATTTAACATCATTTCGCTCATAGAACCAGAAAATTGGGACCTTAATTTACTATAATTTACTTAGATTATAGTCTTGTTTCAAATACTATGCTTACATCTTTTGGTAATGGGAAATTTCACGGACCAATATAAGAAATAAGTGGACGAAGTGGAAATTTACAATGATTGATTGCAACAAGCAATGTTCCACAATGTTCACCAATGTTCCACATTAAGTTTTCACGGCCACGTTCGTTCACCATGGGATGTGTTACCCAACTTTGTCAACATTTTGTTGACTTATATAATATTTATATGGGTGGAGTAATCTCAGACTTGAGGAATCCGAGCAAATATCTCCTACTATCCTACTAGTAACAGTAGTAACTTGCATGGCTCATACTATCTCATTTTTTTGTTCTGAAAACTGACCCGAGGGACCTTATATGCAACTGATCGCACTTGATCCACTGACCGCGCAGGTCAGTTGCCATACTCATCTTCCACCAGGTGTGGGACGCTGCGAGTTTTTCTCAGGATGATCCCAGGGCCGCCCGCGCGCAGGTGTTTTCGTTGTGGTGCAGACCACCCTGACAGCGTTTGCAGGCGAAGGGGGTGGAGACACCCGCCATGACGGTGTAGGCTAGGCCCAGGCCAGTCCTTAGTATTACCAGCTTGCAGAGAGCCTTTGCATTGTTTGAAAAATTAAAAGAAAACATAGACGCCCTTCTTTGGATTTTTTCGGAGGGTTCATCTCACTTGCATATGGCTCTTAAATAGAGCGGACATTTGTACATTATATCGCTTCTTCCCATCTATCCAATCCCCATGAGATCGGAAGTGGCAAGCCAGCTGTTACAGTAGCTCCTTGGGGTTCTTGCCCTTGCCGCTTTCACCCTTCAGGGACTTGCATGAGTTTTTGCAGAAGCAGAAGATTCCAAAGTACAAGCGGCTGCCAGATGTTGAAGTGAGTTTCAAGGCGTGGGCAGCGGATCCAGTTTTGCACCACCGTGTGCCACCGTGTCATCGGATGTTGTTGGTGGCAGAAAAGTATGGTAAAACTACACAGTAGATGAGTAATACAGTAAGGGTTCCACTGAAGCATCAAGATGCTGGAAGATAGTTAGAACATGTGGCTGAACTTATCCTCTTTGGGGGCACCTGTTTCACGAAACTATGATC